AAATTATATATATTACACAAATAAAAAAAAAATGTGGACATAGAATCATCCAAATTTGATTCGTGTGAAATAAATTTTATTGAATAATTTTATTTTGAATATGAATATAAATTATAATATACGTTTTATATAAAATTTTTAAAAAGTTTACTACAGCATGGTTAGAAACTGAAAAATTTTTTTAAAAAAAAATTGTTAAATGTTTTTTATAAATTAAAAAATTCATAATATTTCTTCTTTTAAAGCCAATTACAAGATTATTAAATCAAAATGCAAAAAACAATAAATTAAATTATTTTAGATGGAAAAAAAAATAAAATAAATTATTTATTTATTTCAAATAAAAATTAAATTATATAATGTATTTATTACCAATATTATTGTTTCTGCAAATAAGTGTTAAAATTTATGGTATATATCCTACTCTTAGTAAGGGCCGGTCACCGGCCCTAGAGTATAACTCTAGTTTGATAATTACAAAATATCACAGTAATAATACAAAGATATCACATGACAATCTTGAAGAAGTCACAAAAAAATTCGTATTAAATTTGGAAAAATGCATGATGAATATATGATGAACATATGACAACAATTGGATAATGAGAAAAGAAACATATGGAAAATTCTAATAAGAAGAAACCACAGATAACAAAAAGTAGAAAATAACTGAAGAAATTATAAGAAAAAAATATTACAAGAAAAACAGCAAAGAAAAATACAACAATTTCTGAAAAAAGAAATTAAAAAGCAGATGAAACCATCAAATTTTATATGAAACAAAAATCCAAATCATTAAAAAGTCACAGTAATTAATTAATGGATGATCGACAAAAATGTTAAAATAAGATGATAAACAAGAAAATCAATAGAAGTACAAAAAATAAACCAATAGAAATTCAGATATGGAAAATTAATGATTTAGAAAAATATTTTAAGGATGATATCAGAAAAATCATATACCTATTATAAAGAGAAGTTAGAATTTTAAATCAAGTGATTAAATTGCCAAATTAAGAAAGGAAATAGATTATTACTAAATAAGGAAATTTTAGAGAATACAAAATGGTACAAAGAGGTACAGTAAAATATAGAAAAAGAAGAAGATTTAAATCTGCTACTTATACAAAATTATGTAAATAATGCAGAAAAGTATAGTAAATCAGATAACAAGTTGAAGTTGCAGTAGAAGAATAATCGATGAAATGCAGCAAGTCAAGTGATATTGCATGCTTGATTTAGTAGATCGAGATCTGAATTTGATTCTTATTGAAGTATATAGAAGTATATATAGATATAGATAGATTAAATAGATAATAGCATTTTATTAATTTATTTAGAATTGTGGGGCCACAATTTGTTGAGGGGGAAATATGTAACCAGCAGAAACCAAGCATAAATTAATGAAAAACAGAAGTCATAGGTAGAGTAGGAATTATAGAATTAAAGAAATAGAATTAAGGAATTTACCAGAAATGCAGATCAATACTCCAGGTCATGAGTATAAACTGATCTAGAATATGATCTACATAAGAATATGATGCACAGATGATGGGCATTACTCCTATCATATATATAAGTATAAACTGGGTATATGATGTTATTTATTACATCATAGTTCTTGAAAAGGAATATTTTGTGTTACTATATTTTATATAAATATAGGTCCTAATCATTTTAATAAACTAAGTTATGATTTGAAGTTGTATTTTATTTTTGTTAATCACATGTTTTGTATTACTAACATCACTTGATACTAACTTTTATTCATGAAATCTGATTTGACATGACAACTCTTATGAGGGTTCAGAGGTTTCAATGTCAACATTGATGATAATAAGCTTAACTCTAATTCTATTGAAGAGGATATTAAAAACCTTGGAGGTGTGATTATGAAAAATCAAAGCAAGTTTATGAAATATTTTCAAGATGGATATAAATCTAAGGAGGAAGATAACATCAGCATCATTGCTGTTATTACAACTACCACTGGTAAGGTATCTCCTAATTTTTTTACTCTTGAAGAAAAAACCTACAGTTGAAACAATGGTATATATTTTCATCATTACATTTGTCAATAATATTGAATATGCTTTCTTATTATCCATTAGAACTCAAGAAAAAGAGACCTTTAATGGAAGAAAGTAAGAAATGCATAATAGAAACTTGGTGTCATAAGTTATATATTTTATTAAATCATTCTTACTAATTTTCTTACAGCTACAAGCAGTTATCCATTAGAGCTTGAGAGAAAGAGACCTTTAATTTATGAAATTGACAAAGATAATAAGCTTAACTTTTCAAGCTGGTTTGAGTTTACTTTAACGCTATTGCAAAAAGAAATATTGAATATTTTACCTTCAATAATATGATCAAAACGCTTAAGAAAAATAAGTTCAAGCCTGCTGTTGATTTTCTTTCCTAGGATTCCTTGATTATATGCAGATCTACAATGATGAAGAATGAAATCTAATACAATTCTTGGTAGCTGAGAGTGTATTAATCAGGAATAAAAAGACGAAGAATAAGTTTAAAATGTCATCTACTCTTATAAATAGACTGATTCAGCAACAAGTTATTCCTAAAGTATACAAGTCTTCCCTGGAAAGTGCAATTCCTAAAAAAAATGGCTTTTTAGATATTATCAACATTTTGTAGACAGCCATCCAGTTCTTTGATAAAGATATCATTACCAATACATTTGATAGGTCATTTAAAATTACACATGATATAAATGTGGATGGTGTAGATATAGAACAGGTTTTTAGAGAAAGCGTGTATGATACAGAACTGAATAGAATCCTGGTTAACTGGCTTGTTAAGAGGGGTGGCTTTGAGATAACTGGGTAGTGACATCTGGTTAAATATTTTGATAACAAAAATGATGAGTAAGGTTGGTTGCCATAAGTAATGATTATTATATATTGAATTACAACCTTTAGTGGTTGTAATATTATAAATATAAGTTGTAAATTGGCTGTAAATTTTACACTATTGTGGTTAGCTAAAAAATGATAATTTTGATTTACAACCATTATATTTACTTGATTTTTGGACTTATAAATTACAACTATTTATGGAGACCAACACTAGTGATGAGCACTCATATGGTGACATAGTAATTAAAATGACATGTCAAACAATTATTCTCAAGCTTTTAGCCACTGCAACAAAAAGTGAACTTAATAAATACTTTAAAAGGGTGCTTAAGTATGCTGAAGAACTATTTACAAATGATATTTGGATAGTACATTTTACGTGTGAAGATGGTTATAGAACTCAGAAATCTAAGAATAGATCTCATTGGCCATCTGATAACAGAATTAATACTGTCCACTTTTTTCATAACCATCTGTTTGAATATGTACTAATGAATGCCCGATATTTAGATAGCTCTGATAACAACTTTAAGTATATTATAGATCGTACTATATTGTTATAATCTTAGTTCTGATTTTAATACTTATTAGTTTACTAATAATCACAGGTCGAAAGCTGCCAAATCGGGGACTATCTAGGCTATCCTAAAAGGACCTAGATGGTCCCCGATTTTTTTTTATTTATTTTTGCAAGGTACCCGATTGGTAACTATAAAATGGCCCCAATCGTGCAGGGTAAGGTTAGGACCCTGAAATATATATGTAGAGGTCAGGTCCAGAAGTGGTCCAAAATACGCATTCTTTCAGGGCCGGAATTATGATAATTTCAGCCATTATCTAAATTAGTAAATATTATTTTGGCTGGGATTATCCATAAAAGGAATGATCTACATGATTTTTTTGACTCATTATACGCAAACTCTGACCTGACCCTTTTATGTATATTTCGGGGTCCTGTAAGGTTATCAATAGGGTACCTATTCGTTCGCAACTGGATATCAATAGGATTGACCTTATTGTTATCCAGTTTTTTTTATTTACTTGTTAGATTAACCTATTGTTATCCATTTTTCTTATTTAGAAGCTTACCGATTGATGTCATTTTGGTTAATTGTATCAATATATACACATAATTTATTAAAAAGTAATCAATAGGCTATGTCCGATTGTAAAAAAAATAAAAATATAGAATCAATACATGCTTTCGATTGATTCCAAATTGCTACTTAATTTATCAATTTATTATATCAGATTTATATTACACGCAATTAATTAATTTCAATTTATTATATATTATTAGATGTAAAATTAGCAGAATGTAATATTAATACTACTAGTCTAAAATATTCTATATGACTAATATATTATGATAGTTAATTAAATTTTATATAAGAATTTTAATAAGAATTTTATTTGACATTATGGATCCCTTCAACCGATTTTGGTTTCTTTCTTGAATGGTGTCCAATATCATCATCATCATGGATCCCTTCAACC